CCCATGCCAAACAGCAACCTAATTTCAGACATGACTGGCTGGGAAAAATGAAGGCAACAGAGGACAGACTCCTGGAGCTGGGGTAGAAAAATTATTTTTCTAATGATTCTAAATAGTCTCAGCTTTCCATGCTCTCTCCCCCTTGTATCATTAAGACATCTAGAAACTGATTTGTCCCATTGTAGGATCAGAAGTACCAACAACTCATATGGCTGTATAAAATAGAAACAAATGTCCTCAGCCCTTACATCCCAGAAAAAAAAAACACTAAATTCAAGCAATTTTTGGCTTGAGAACAGAAGTATGCTGTAAATCTGTCCACCCACTTCTGGTAGGCACACTTCTTATAGTAGTAGTATGTGAAGGCACTTTCTGTGTTGGAATTGGGAGACGGTTTTGAGTTAGCACCTAGCTAGCTAGTCAGTATGTGAGAGAGAGAAAGAGACATAGGGTCTGGGGAGGTTGCTTACGGCTCCATGATTAAAGTTTGTTGGTAGTTCTTCTTATTCCTCCTATGCCTGTATTTCCTGAACCCGGTGATCACCCAGTGATGTTGTCAAATGTAGTTAATGATAAAGAATTTGAAAGAATTTGAAATCCAAACTGAAAAAGAAGTTGGAAACTGAGAGCAAGTGGAGTAACTCAGACATGTGGAATGACAAGGGCCTCTAAGGGATCCTTCTGCACAATTATAATCTAAGGAAAAGGATAGCTGGTCGTGGAAGTGCTCCAACCTCTATCTGCCCTTCTAGTATTGGGAAATATAGCAGGGAACTGGAGAGTGTTCAGACAAAGGTTGAAGTGGTACCTAGCAGCCACAGGGGCAGAAGCAAAAAGTGACAAAGTCAAATAATTTGTTTTCTTACACATTGCAGGAGAGGAAGCTATGGCTGTTTATAACACCTTTACATTTGCAAAAGGTCAAATATTAAATGAAATTTAATACTGTCCTTATTTGAGGAATACCCCATGCCAAAAAAGAATAAGACCCTTGAAAGGCACAGAGTTTGATGTGCAAACAAAGTATAGATCAGTATGTTACTGAAGTAAAAAAAACCCCTAAGAACTGTGTTTTCGGGAACTTGACAGAATCTCTGATTAGTGATAAGATTATTTTTGGCAATCCTGACACTGCAATACAACAAAGACTACTGCATTAGGAAGACTTGCCCCTTGAAAAGACTGTCTAAATGTGCAGGGCAGCAGAAACTGAAGGCTCAGACTGCAGAGCTAAATGCACCAAAAGGGGGTCATCCATGTAGAAGGCATGAAAGCATGTGACCAGAAAAAGCCACCTCACAGGGTGCAACTTTCCACTAGTAAGAAGCACCTCACAGGGTACAATATTCAATTAACATGGAGAGCATTAAAGGGAAAGAAAGCAAATAAGCAGGCATGTACCAAGTGTGGAAGGCAACATAGCCTCAAACACTGTGCTGCATTTAGAAAGCTCTGTTTTAACTACCATAAGAGAAACCATTTTGCCAGGTGTTGCAGATCCCAAACAGAAAAATCCCGAATGATTACAGTTGACAGCACACTAGGATAATTTCACAGATATGGCAAAACCAAGCAAAATCAATGAGAGGGACTTGATTTTGACAGTGAAAGTACAAGGAAAAATGGTTTCATTTAAATTGGACACTAGAGCTCAGCATGCATCTAGAAAATTAAAATCGAGACCAAAAGTGAGTCCAACAAGCATCAAAATAACTGGCTATTCAGGACCAAATATATAGGCTTCCCCTCGCTTTATGCAGGTTGTGTACGAATTCGCTCTTATGTGATGACCGTTTTTATACCAAAAATTCGTTATATCCGAGGCAAATTCACTTTTATGTAATCGATGTGGTGGAAGCCCGCAGCCAGCTGCTTTGTGAGGTGCATTGTGGGAGTGACACACGCCAAAATATAGTCTCCTGTGTGGAACTATGTTCCTTGCTCACTGTCTGCAACATGCATTTCTGTAGTTGCCACCCCCATTATGGCTTCTAAGCATCCCGCTAGCTTATCTCTAACTGTCTGTTGCTGGTGAGTATCGAATTGTCTTGTAAAAGTGGTAAAAATGGGTCTGAGGGTCAGTACAGTCAAGGTCTTGGAATGTATCCCTATTTGTTACATTGTAAAGTGGGTTCCCTTTATGCAAATTCAAGTTATGCGCGGTTTCCCAGGAATGCATGTACTACATACTTTTGTCAGTCTGACACAAAAGTGAAACCTCCTGAAAGGCTCAGAGAGACTTGCTAAAGGAGTTGTAGAAAAGGGTAAATATGAAAGTGAGTGGTAAAGACTCACTCCAGAACACCGCGTTAGCAGTCTCTTCTCTGCAGACGGGTGTTGATGGAATTTTGTATTAGTAGGTTCTGTTGCACATGTAGGGCCTGAATAGTCAGGCAGCCATGCTATCAGGGGTGTCTTCCTCCACTGAAAATACTGAGTTCTTGATGAGCAAACACCTATTTATTTTGTACCTCTACCAAGCTAAAACTGGTATACTATGAAGAACCTTCTGGTCTTATGAAGAGGAGGGAAGGAGGTCTTGGAGGGTGGAAGAGAGGAAAGATAAGCATTTAACTCTGAAGGGGCAGTCTACATGTGCACTTTAATGTGCATTAGCCTATTTTAATGTGCATTGTGTCATAAAAAACCATGGGGCATTTGTATACATGTTTGCGCTACAGCACCAGGCGCTTTTAAAACCACCCAGCGCTGTGGCACATACATTTGTATAAATGGCGAAATGCACGTCATCACTGAGAAAATGGTGGGAGTGCACTTTTGAACTAAAACACATCAAAGGTGTTTTAGTTCAAAAGCGCACTGCCACCATTTTATCAGTGCTGACATGCATTTTACCATTTATATAAATGCGTGCAATGCAATACTAGGCACATCAGCTCGCCTGTGGAGCAGAGGTCCGGCGCGTCAGAGCAGACAATTCATGTCTATAAATGTCCATGCTCTTTAGTTATTGCGCATTATGACAGGCCAATGTGCATTTTCCTAGTGCCACACAATGGAGGTACTAGACTTAAGTGCATTAACTAAACTGCGTTATTGCACATGTGGACATGGCCTGAGCTAATGTCTCCCTCTCTTTATTCCAAAGCATATGCTGAAGGAGAAGCCAAAAATAAAAATTAAACTGGCTTTGGAATACCCTTAGGAAATGCCTGACTCAGCAGTCACTGGGCATGTCTACATGAGATGCTCTACTGCGGAGTAATGCTATACATGAAGATGCTTACTGCTCTGTAAGTGGCTCTAACCACAAGTAAATTTGTTACCTGCAAATGCAAGTAGAGAATTTACTCGAGATTACTTACTGCATGTAGTGTACATGTAGATGTCTGACCAGGAGCAAATGTGCTCCCAGCCAGCCAGGCAGCAGAGGGGCAGGAGATTGCTTCCTGCCCCTTGGAACTGTCTGCTTCCAGGGCAGGCTCCACCACTGGAGCCTGGGTCTGGACAATGTCCCCCTGGCCCAGCAGCAGGGAGCTCCAAAGCCCCTGCACCACGATCATGGGGCCAGGACTGGGAGTAAAGGATCTCCCAACTCAAGTCCTGCAGTCGTGGGGCCCGGGCTGGGATATCCTTATCTCCCAGCACCAACTCCACAGTATGCATACCCCTGGGAGTATGCGAGACACAGGAAGGGGGTACATGGGTACGGTTGCAGGGCTGGCACTGGGAGATGACACCAAACTTTGGGGCAAAGCATCCACACCAGAAGACAGGCAGGTTATCCAGGCTGACCTGGACAGGCTCAGCAAGTTGGCGGATGAGAATCTGATGGTGTTCAATGCCGATAAATGCAAGGTTCTCCACCTTGGGGAAAAAAACCCGCAGCATCCTTATAGGCTCGGCAGTGCTATGTTGGCTAGCACTATGCAAGAAAGAGACTTGGGGGTCATCATTGACCACAAGATGAACATGAGCCTGCAATGCGATGCGGCGGCTAGTAAAGCGACCAAAACGCTGGCTTGCATCCATAGATGCTTCTCAAGCAAATCCCGGGATGTCATTCTCCCCCTGTACTCGGCCTTAGTGAGGCCGCAGCTGGAGTACTGTGTCCAGTTTTGGGCTCCACAATTCAAAAAGGATGTGGAGAAGCTTGAGAGAGTCCAGAGAAGAGCCACGCGCATGATCAGAGGTCAGGGAAGCAGACCCTACGATGACAGGCTGAGAGCCCTGGGGCTCTTTAGCCTGAAAAAGCGCAGGCTCAGGGGTGATCTGATGGCCACCTACAAGTTTATCAGGGGTGACCACCAGCATCTGGGGGAACGTTTGTTCACCAGAGCGCCCCAAGGGATGACGAGGTCGAATGGTCACAAACTACTTCAAGATCGTTTCAGGTTGGACATAAGGAAGAATTTCTTTACTGTCCGAGCCCCCAAGGTCTGGAACAGCCTGCCACCGGAGGTGGTTCAAGCGCCTTCATTGAACACCTTCAAGATGAAGCTGGATGCTTATCTTGCTGGGATCCTATGACCCCAGCTGACTTCCTGCCCTTTGGGCCTGCTCCCAGGGCCCTGCATGTGTAGACATGTGCCCGAGACAGTTTACTTTCAAGTGATTTATTCAAGATTATTTGCACATGTAGATGTACCCACTGAGGAGCAATAAACTGGAGGGAACTTCAGGGGATGCAGTAACTGTCTTTCTGTAAGTGACTGACAGGCCTGGTTTTGCCCTGAAGCTGCAATTAGGCTAAAAGATCAATTGTAAATGGATCTATGGGGACCTTGCCACAAAGGAAAACTGTAGAAGTTCTTCAGTTAACTAGGTTCTGAGTGAATGCATTTCTTCTCAGTTTTATATGTCTTCTTTACTGATTCTACAGGAGCTACATAGTACTAGGAGTAGAGCTGGATACTCCTGCTAGATTAGTATGTTTTATAAACATTTTGGTATAAAACATATTTTGAAAGGAACGTAATTTTTCTGAGTTAATCCAAAAAACAGAAAAAAATTACACATCCTCTGCATAAACAACTTACCCCCAAAAGGTGTTGGAAACTGAGCCATGGTTCAGTCACTTTTAGCTTGCTAATGGAGGCCTGGAACAGAAAGAGAGCAGAGTAATATAAACAGATTTTCATGACATAATATAACTTCCATTTTAAACAACTATTACCTCTAGAGTTACATGCTCAGTTACTATGTAAAAAATAAGGGAAACTAAGATGGGAGACTGTATAATTGTAAAACATTAAGGAAAATGATTACTAAGGGAGAAATTAATGTATAATTATTTATTATTATCCTACACATTTCTGACATTTGCTTTCACTTGTGTACCAAACATATCCACAAGAGCAAATTACCTTCATTTATAATAGAACAGTGATGTAGTAAGAAATGGAGTTAAATCAGCCATACAACAGACAAGATTTTAGGAAAAGCAAACACCATGTTCCTCAAACTACATTCCTTCCACTGAGCATGACTGCTCTGCTCCTATTCAAGTGCATGGGATGATCCTCCAAGACCACAGTTGATGAAAGAATCCCATTTTTATTTTTAACTTTTGTTTAACAAAGAACCCATAAACTTCACTGTCTTGCTCATCTAGTATCCTTTCACGGTTGTATAAAAAGCATAAGGAAAAATGGCGACTAAAGTGCAAATAATGCTTGTTATTCTGTTAAAAATGTACTCAACAATAGCACAGGCTAAATTGCTGGCACCACAATTCTAAAGGGAATATTACAGGCAAAATGCATTAGAGTGGGACAACCATACATACATTAAATGTGTTAAATACAATTTCTGTTTTCAAATTAAAACTACGCCCCAGGTTTTTTGGAATTTTTTAAAGGGTCATTTTTCTTATTCCACACAAGAAGTGACATGAACTGTCTGAGCCACAGGACAATGGCCAGTGTCAGAGCCACAAAACAATGAAAGAACAGCCTCCTGTCCTACTAGATACCACTCATGTATTCCAGGTAACAGAAGAAAAGCAAAAGAAAACAGAATTGAAAGGAGAATAGTTTAGGCTACTTAAGTTGCAGCAGAAATTTATCAAAATCATTTAAGAAAACAAACAAAAAGGGCTGAGAAAACTGCATTAAGCCACATGAGTTTTCTTTTGTCTGATTTCCCCAGTGTTCTTCTAAACCTCCATGATATTCTGATTGCACATGCCTAAATCTACTGCATACATGGCATACCACTACCGTCACTGCAGAGAAAATACTTTGCTACTATTACAGTAATCAATGTCATGAAAACCAGACTTCCTACTTAATTGTAATTTGGGGAGCAAGAAAAGAAACTGACAAGATGTGACAGATCACTTTCTCAGATAAATCATTTTACTACCATATTTGTCTCATTCCAGAAATACTGCATTATTCTGAATTCTCCTTTCAAACTGCAGGCAAAGTTTTGTACATGAGATAGAATGGATTCTAGTCATTAGCCAAGAAACCTGAAGTCATAGCAGCTAACATAAAGAAATTCCATGAGGTCATAATCCAACACAGGTTTTACCATTTAACCATTCTGTTAGCAACGGTCATTTTCTCAAAGGCTTTCAAACCTTCAGGAATTAGCACTTTAACCATTGCAACTGTTCAATGATCACTTAATCTACCCCCGCTTATTATTGTAGTTTTACTTTCTAAAACTATCAGCAAATGATAACACAGCTTCCAGTCCAATGTCTTCCAGTAACTACTTACATAGACATGTTGCAGCATGAGAGTGTCATCAAAAATTCTACTTGTTTAAAATGTTAAATGTAATAGGAAGAAAGATGAACTCCTGCCCCCAAACGCTTACCATGTGGGACTGTGGAAAAACCCCCCAAGGAATGCAGTAGGAAAAGAAGAGACAGGAGAGGAGGAGAGTCAGAGAGAACGGAAGACCAGACTTGATAAGAGAGAGAATCAGAATAAAAAATGAACAAAAATGCAATTCAACAATTCATTCACCTACTCACATTTCACAAGTTTAAAAAAAAAAATCAAGGATTATGATTATTGGGTCAGAACAGGGCTTGCAAGTTCAGCCATTTAAGGGAAAACAATCTCTTATGTAGAGTTCAGGAACTCCACAGGAAGAAGTAGCTTATCACTCCTACATTGTATGCACCAAAGTAAGTCTCATGACTAGTCACCAGCTGGATGCTGAGGAATGCATAAAAACCATACCAAGCGGAAGAGAGAATGGCAGTGAAAGGGTAGTGGACAGAAAGAGAGAGAGATATTAGTCATTAGCAAGAGGCACAGAAGAAAAGTGTCTTGAAGAGACACAAATGAGGGAAGTAGAAAGTAAACTTGAGAGATTGGAAAAAATTAGACTAAAGACAGACAGACATACCAAAAGATTCAATGGGAGGTAAACAAAGGGAGAGAAAGATCAACATACCAGAGAAAGACACAGTAATTTAAGTCTGCTGATCACTGTCAGTACAACGCTTATCTATTATGAAGAGTAATTTGATTTTACATCCCAGGAGATGCTAGGGACCTATGGAGATCTGACTGGGAATGCAAGCTGGGCCCAACAGCTCAGTGTTCTTTTATATTCAAAAAGCATGAATAATGTTTGTTCAAGCTAAGGAGTCAGAGTTCGAATAGCCTTATAACAATGAGTTTGGAGGGGGCAGGGTTGTTTTTTAAAGAATCTTTTAGATAACAAGCATTTTGAGGCAGAAACTATGTTCTACGTATTCACTAAATGTCTAGCATAATCCATTCTATTAAGACTTTATCTTATATTTTAATAGGATTTTAAGGAAAAGTAAGCACTCAAGAACCGAATTTCATTTTACAATTTAATTTTACAATCTTAAGGTGGAAAAGAAAAAGAGACTTTCCATAATCAAATTATTCCAGTACAGAATTTATAAACATTACTAGACAAGCTGGTATTTATTTGAAAGTGTCAAATGATCGTGACATTTTAAGTTAGAATATTGTGAGAAGAGCAATAAAGAATTCTGGACCAGTCCTTCTCGCTTATTTGTTTCTTTTTCTTTTCCCTTCCCCTATGTCACTCTCCCCCATGCCTCCCCAATTTGCCCCAAAAAGTCAAATAAAGTTCTCTTTGGTCAAGTCCTGCTGACATATATGTGACTTAATGTACAAACAATAAAGGACATTTACCTAAAATATGCAGGGTGACACAATCCATTTGTCCTGACTAGTAAAACTATTCAGAACAAATTTCACTCTCAACTCCATAAAATTGTGCATATACACTTTAAAACATGCAGTCTAGGGGTTCACATGAAATTTGTCGCTACATATTTCTTCTACCATTTTTACCTAGCATCAGAACATATTTATTTTCTTAGACATGTCCGTGCGGGCACTTCCATAAATCACATTCCAATGAAAGCACATGGGCATTAATCAATAATCTGCAGATGCGTGTGGCTTCAGTTACATACATTTTCACCTCACATCACCCACAGTGAATCAGTTAACAGAAACAGCCTGAAGATTCAATTCCATCTCTGCTTAAGACGTTTACACTATGAAGAAAAAGTTTGCAGGAAGGATGTCTACTGAGAGGAGACTGACTTTACCACACCTTCAGCTCTCCTGTGAAATATGAATTTTCATCTCTACCCAGGAGAACATTTACCGTCTTTGCAATCTCCTATGCCTGATGAAGAATGCCTGTGCCTGAAAGCTTGCAAATAATTTTTTTTTGCAAATATCTAGTTGATCTAATAAAAGATATCACCTCTGCCACAAGTTTTGATTCAGTATTTCAAGTTTTGGGGGGTTGTATTTATGAGAAAATGCCTTGCTTTTCTCTGTCCAGGTTCTTCCTCCCAAACCATATCCTTGTGCCTATTCAGAAATATACCCAGCAACACCTTATCTCCCCACATTCTCTTCATACTCCCCCATCCTTGCAGCAAAGCCACATGCAGCCAAAACTACCTCCATAGCTCCTTGTGCCCCCTTGATGTGCCCCCTTGATGACCCAAAACCCTTAAATGCAGGGGGGGATGTGGGCATGCTAGAAGGGAGGAATAGGCTGCAATCGGACCTAGACAGGTTACAGTGGTGGGCGGATGAGAACAGGATGGGTTTCAACACTGACAAGTGCAAGGAGCTGCACCTGGGGAGGAAGAACCAGCAGCATACCTACAGGCTGGGAACTCCCTTCTTGTCAGTGCAGAGGCAGAAAAGGATCTTGGAGTCATTATTGATGCCAAAATGAACATGGGCCAACAGTGTGGGGACGTGGTCAGGAAGGCCAACCGCACCTTGTCATGCGTCCACAGAGGCATCTCAAGCAGGTCCAAGGAGGTGATCCTCCCCCTCTATGCAGCACTGGTCAGGCTACAGTTGGAGTACTGTGTCCAGTTCTGGGCGCCGCACTTCAGGAGGGATGTGGACAGCATTGAGAGGGTCCAGAGGAGGGCCACCCGCATGATCAGGGGGCAGCGGGGGAGGCCCTACGAGGAGAGGCTAAGGGTCCTGAACCTGTTCAGCCTCCACAAGAGAAGGCTGAGGGGGGGATCTAGTGGCCTGTTACAAACTAGTCAGGGGGGACCAGCAGGCCTTGGGGGAGTCCCTGTTCCCTCAAGCACTACCAGGTTGACTAGAAATAACGGTCACAAGCTGGCAGAGGGTAGATTTAGACTAGACATCAGGAAGCGCTACTTCACAGTCAGGGCGGCTAGGACCTGGAACCAACTTCCAAGAGAAGTGGTGCTGGCTCCTACCCTGGGGGTCTTTAAGAGGAGGCTAGATGAACACCTTGCTGGGGGCATTTGACCCCAGTACTCTTTCCTGCCATGGCAGGGGGGCGGACTCGATGATCTGCTCAGGTCCCTTCCGACCCTACAAACTATGAAACTATGAAACAGGAACTGAGAGCTTGTCTGCACTTTTTCTTTTATTCTTGTCTGCACTTGATAATTCATTCTAATTAAGGCGCTTTGTGAATTCAAAGTACAATAGCTATTATAGAACACACAGACAATTGTTGATCAGTCTGTGGGCATGGAGACACTCAACGCTTAGACCAGTTTGAATGTAGTTTAAAACTGAAGCAGACAGACGTATGTCTGTTAAACTGGCCATGG